CCATATTAGTAGGTGCCGGCTTCACTTTTTCATTTATTTTCCAAATGATATTAAAAGTTGGTGCTTCATCTATATTATAAAGACTTTTATTTTTGTTTTTATAGACAAGAAAACGAGTCACTTAACGAGTGGTGTCTCATATCCAGAATATCGGGCATACTACAGAAGTATCGAGAGATGCCCGAGAAATCGAAAGTAGATAGATGCAAGAGAATCGTAGAAAAGTATGAGACAAGTATATCCAAATGACGGAGAACTGTGAGAGGATGACGAAGAAGTGTAGAGAGACGTCTCAAAAATGTGTTTTCGCCCTCACCCTCAGCGTGAGAGACGCCCTTTATGTGTTTTGCCTTCACCCACAGTGAAATACGTGCTCTTTGTTTCGTTTTGCCGTCATCATCAGTCCAAAATTCTACCTAGACGTAGATAATCGCTAGGAAAGATCTATATCTACATGTCCCCACATTTCTTCTGCATTTCCCGACAGTTCTCCAACATGCTCGGTATTTTGGATATGTGACACTATTAGAATCTTCTTATTCTGATCTTCAGTCAAAATTTTTCTGTTGAACCACTAACGATAGATAATCAGAGTTCGTTACGAGTCTCTAAATATGTTGTCTTTTGTTAAATTTCATTGAGTTGTGCCGTTGAGAACTTCATTGTGGGTATAATGTATTTTTTCTTATGTGTTAAGATCGTAACGGATTATCGCAACCGGAGTTATTAATGAAAAAACAAGAAAATATTTCATTTTGCTGAAAAACGAGCGTTGATCACGGAAAGAGTATGACATTGGCAAAAAAGTGATGAAATGATAATGGAAGAACCCCTATTATTGAACAAGTGATTTTTCAAACAATGAGTGTTATTCAAACAAGAATTAATGAATGTGTATATGAACCATCAAGATTATTACAAATTTTTTTTTATAGAAAACGAACACATTTCATTGATCTTAATATTCAAGGTTTGTTTTTTCTTTAAATTTTTTTTTTGTTTAATTCTTTTATTAATTTAAAAGAAGAATCGAATTTGTTGAATACGTTAATGTATAATGTTTGTTCTCTTAAATTAATGTTAACTGAATGTCAATATAATGAATATTATAATAAATTAATAGATGAACTTGAAACAAATATATATTATTTAAATTCATATCAAACAAGTTTAATATCATATTTTATATCAAGAAAATCTTTAAGAAAACATGAATTTAATTATCGTTTATTAAATCTATTAAAATCAGTTGAATTAGTTCGTTTATTATATAAAAATATTCATTCTCATAAAATAGAAAATATTCTTCAATCAACAAAAAAACTTCAATCAAAAGATCATCTTTCTCATGCTTTTTTTATTTTTCAATTATTTTATATTGTTAAATTATCAAATGAAATAACAAAAGATAAAAAAAAATGAAAATATTTCAAAAGAAAAAATAAAAATAAATTTTTTTAAAGAAGTTTTTATATTTGATTGGTTAAGATTTTTATTATCAATTAAATCAATGATTATTATTGGTGTTGGTTCAATATTTGTTATGATTCCATATTTAGCTCAAATTTTTGAAAATGGTCAATGGATTTTAATTGCTCTTTGTATGACACAAGCTGATAGTGTTGGAGGAGCTTTTACAACAATGAAAATGAGACTTTTTGGAACTCTTCTAGGTTCATCTACCTCGATAAGTGTCAATTTGTGTATGGTTTCTCCGTAAGTATTTAGTTGGCTCAAAGGTCACATATGACCTTCAGATGAATCCTTAAGACTCAATCATTAACTGAGATTCCGAGTCCTAACTAACTTCAAATTGCAGATGATTGTTGTGCGCAGTTTTTTTCAAATTGATTTCTGTTGATTTTTTTCTATGAATGTTTTAGTAGATATTCTGCTAAAATATAAGTGACAAAGGTGAATCATGACACTAAATCATATCTTTTTCAAGACGGAAATTAAATATTAAAAATCTATTCAGACAAAAACATTTATTCTTATTTAAATTCGAAAAATAAAATAAAACTATTGACTATATTTTGAATCGTCTATAAAAAAATTTGAATTTTTCTCACTAGAATTCGTGTTTTAGAAAAAAAATTCTGGTAAACGATCGAATACTCTCCTACCTAATAATTCTATTGAAATTTGTTCATAACTCTAATAATACCGATTCGAAAGTTTCTAGTTGGTTCTCTCTAATATCGAAGTATTAACGCAATTTATGTTTATTTTTTCGCAAAGTTGTCATATATAGAAACGATCTAGGTAATCGTTTATATTTGTATTTATAGGGCGTGACCAACGGTATGGTACCCCAATTTCCTTTCTCTCTCTCTTAACAGCTAAATACTCTAACTATATTCGGGTCAATTTATCACTCTCATTGTCAAACTACTAAATTTAAAATATTAACTCTTGTTGGCTATCTTATGAGTGAATTGCAACTTTTTGGTACGATTGAGATTTTAGCTGTATTTCGCCAATAACTTTTGTTCTGCTCAATCGATTTCCACCAATTTTTTATATGTTATTGGTCTTTGAGTACCCCACTGACACACAAAATTTGAGCTCTCTAGCTTCTATAATCGCTGAATTATGAGGCCTACACTGTCGAAAAATTGTATTTTACATGTAACTGTACTAAGAAAGTGATATATTCTAAGTATAAAAGAAAAGAGAAAAAATATAATGAATAGTTTATTCTGTACAGCTTGAGATGCTCTATCAAATGATATATCTTTTGTATTGTTTTTCTTTTTTTTCACACTCATTCACCTCGAATACTTAGTTACAGACACTTTGTCATCTTTGTGTAGAAGGACCTTATTTTTCGATTTTCTCCATTTGCCTACAAGTCGAATGAATCCGAACGTATTCAAAAGAAAGTCAGTCGATCGGAAAACAAATTGATAAAAAAGCTTTTTCTTAACGACTTTTTTTTTTCATTGAAAAAAATCGATCTTTTTTTAAAAAATTGAATTTTACTCACTTTGTAGAAGGACTTTTTGCAATTTTCATCGCTAATAACTTTTGGACAACTTATCCGTTTTTGCTCAAATTTTTATCGAAGATATAGTTCTTAGACTTACATAACTGGTAGAAAATTCAGCTGCCCATCTCTTGTCGTTCTCGAGAAATTTACAATATGCAATGAAATGTAGAAGGACCTTTTTTTGTATGATATTTCAAGTAAAAGCGGGTCAAAATGAGTAGTTTTTTATGTCAATCAATTTGTTTCACCGCGGAAAGTTATTCTGTCTATATTGTCAGAAAAATTATTGGGTTTCAAAATAGCTTTAATGTGTCAGAAACTGATCCTGGTCGTTTTTTTCGAAAATGTTACAAATTTATGCATATTTTTAGTTGAAATATTAAGGTTTTTGAATTTTTTATAGTAGTATTTATGGATCTAAGTACAGTGTAAGACTTTATATAAGTAGTTTTAGTGCTGCCAAAATGCATACTATTTGCTGTAAAATCTTAACCTTCAGAAAATAAGGTCGATCATAAAAATTGCTCACTTGAAAAACCCATATCTCCGTTAATAATCGATAAAGTGTCGGGATATTTTTACTGTATAATACAGACATAGAGCCTAGAGGAAATATGTTTCTACAGACTCACATTCGATTGCAACAACACTGAACCAATCTTAGAAAAGATATTGATATATTGAATATTGAAGCATCGATGCATTTCATTGCGACATCTTATGTACTAATGTCGGCGCCAGAAGTAAATGGTGAAAACTCTGGGAGGAATATCTCCCGAACGGATGCAGCTAGCGACCTGCGGTTTTCACCAATCGAAAGAGGAGGAGTGGGGGCGTCTTTTTCTCCGATAATGTATAAGACGGAATCTTTTTATACCTAATCATATTCGAAGAACATGCAAAAGAACCCATGAAAATGGCCTGCCAGCTAGATGAAATTTTGATTTTGACTTTTGATTTAGATAGAAGGACTTGAGATCTATAGTTCCAGGCACAACGCAAATGATTGTCTTATTACATTCTAACGTTGCGCAAATGGGATCATGTACTTACATGAGCAAATCATAGAGGTTTTCGCTAGTTTTTTACTAAGCTTTTACACTTTTTATCAAGGTAGCTTGAGATTTCGAGGAAAATGTAGGAAAAAGTAAGAAAGCACATTGTGTCTGGAATTATAGATCTCAAGTTTCTCTATCTAAACCAAAGCTCAAATCAAAATTTCATCTAGCTGCCAGGTCATTTTCATGGGTTCTTTTACATGTTCTTCGAATATGATTAGGTATAAAAAGATTCCGTCTTATACATTATCGGAGAAAAAGACGCCCCCACTCCTCCTCTTTCGATTGGTGAAAACCGCAGGTCGCTAGCTGCATCCGTTCGGGAGATATTCCTCCCAGAGTTTTCACCATTTACTTCTGGCGCCGACATTAGTTACTGTTCTTACAAGAAGCTTATTTTATCTCATTCATGCGTAACTGAACCTTCTGAAAATATAGAAATTTGTCAACATTATTTAAAAAAATAGTTAATGCTGCGAAAAAACTGAATTCGAAAATGTTAGGAGTGACATCTTTCTCTATATTTTTTTCTTTCATGTTACTTTAGTTCGTGATCTTTCTTCTTCTCTTCTTTCTCTTTTTATATTATATATGTGCGTGCACAACTATTGTACGACGGACATTTTTTCCTTAATAAATATAGAAAGGTCAACATATTGTTGAATCGAACTCCAAATGCAAAACGAAATCTAACAGAAAAATTCTGTTGTTATTATATGTCTAAATTTTCAATACCTTAAAATATGAATATCTTGATCTAGACTCGCCACGGGCAGCTCATATTTTCAGTTTGGTAGTTTCTCGTTGAGGGCTATCATTTGACACCAAAATAGTTAAGGAAATAGACTGATATGACAAACAGTTCCATTGTAAGATCCTGTCCAAATTCGACCCTGTAACTGAGAATCCGGTCGAAGGTCTAGGTTCTTTCTGAAGTACATATCGAAGCTGACGCCAATTATTCAATCACAACTGAAACTGGGAGTGAACTGGCGATTTAGATCAATTGTCCGTCTGAGACACAAGCTAAGACCAGTGAATCGACTAAAACTGGAACCTGCATAGCTTCCGCGACTTTTAATCAAAACTCGGACGGTACGCAGACGTAGCCAGGATATTCGTCTCGAAATACGTTCGAGATGAGCACTGTGGTAAGATCTGAAGCTGTCACTGTAATTGAGAAGATAGTGCAACCTCGAATGTAGTCGAAAGCTAAGACCAGTAATTCAATCACAGCTGAAACGAAGATGAATACCGGTCCGTGAAAAGCTCCGGAATGGATGCGGAACTGAGAGTAAAATCTGAGTGGATCACAGAATCGACTCTGAAAGCTGGACAAGAAGTGAGACTTGACAGAGTTCGCGTTACACACAGCCAGCGCGATAGACCTTGAGATCAGGTCTGAAGTTGAATGCTCACTGAGATTGGTAGCAGGATGACAACTTGAAGTGCAACATAAATGAGAACTATGACAGGAATAGCAATCGTAATCGAAACAAAAATATACACGGCGACGAGGAGGGTAACGTGAACGAAGATGGTGGCCGAGACATATATTGATACTGAGATCCGAGTCGATGCTGCGACCGAGAACGATTCTAGAAGAAAACTAATATTGATACCGAGGCTGGAAATGCATCCGGATCTCGATATTTGACGATATACATGGTCAGGAATATGAAACACTTGTAGAAGTAAGATCAAAACACCAATATCTTCTTCCATATGTGGAAGGGACATCTGAGGCTTGGTTCAACCAGGATCATAGTATTGGACGGTATAGTATTGCTTGTCAATTGCTAATATTTTGTTGATACTGTGCAATGATGGTAAAAAACCAAGTAGAGTAGTGTTATAGTGCATAATTTTTCTGCATTCGATTCACGCTATTTCTCATCCTTCAAGCTATTCGAACGATGAGTAATAGAACAAGCAAAACGATGATGATATTTTTATGAGGAAAAAAACATGTATCTCATTAAAATATCTTAATTAATGATAGAACGAGCAAAACGAGACTAATATTTTCATGAGATAAAAATCATGTATCTCATTAATATACCTTAATAAATGATCGAACACGCAAAAAGACGATAGTACTTGTATGAAATAAACAAGGTATCTCAATAATATTTAATGATTAGCTATTCCAAGGACACGAATGAAGACACACAAGCCAAACTTATATTAGTGATGTAAATACAAGCAACGTCTTGTTTTTATCTCTAATATAGAACAACGTCGATATATTAGTGCTATTCTGGTCGTTAACACACAAGATTTCGTATAATACACAGAGCAAATGTATGTATTTTGAAATCGCATTTTCTTCAGAAAGAGTTTTTTATCATCAGTATCCAGTGAATTTTTCTATTCTTAAATAGCATCACTAAGCTTATATTTTTTTTTCGTATCATAGTAATTATTTTCCTGTCGGCAAAAATATTCCAAAATACTGTATGATATGAATAACAAATATTAACTACTGTAAAGCCACGCTTGTCACAAAACGTCTGTAGCAGGAGATGTTAATCAACTTTGTGAAGTCTCATATAGAAAAAAGATCGGTCAACATTATGTTCTTTTACCATTCGAAGAGGTTTGACCTCGCTCAAAATTAGATACGATACTGTGCAGATAAAAAGTGCTTCAGTAAATTTTCGTTGATGG